TTCCAGACTTGTTGCTGGAATCACAGCACTTTCCTCTCCCTCACTTTTAAGGTACTTAATAGGACAAATGTTTTTTTAAAATAATAAAGTTTACAGTGAGGGAATAAAAGTAATTACAAGTCAGTTCTGTGGTGTATATGCCGACTGGCAACTTTTTACAAAAGCGTTTTTTGGGGGCCAGCCCCATGGCCGAGTGGTTAAGTTTGTGCGCTCTGCTTCGGCGGCCCAGGGTTTCGCCAGTTCAGATCCAGGGTGCGGACATGGCACCACTCATTAGGACATGCTGAGGCAGCGTCCCACATGCCACAACTAGAAGGACCCACAACTAAGAATATACAACTATGTACTAGGGGGCTTTGGGGAGAAAAAGGAAAAATAAAATCTTAAAAAAAAAAAAAGTTTTTGTTTTTATTAAGTTACAAAAATATTAAATATTCCTTTAGAAACTTAGAGCATGACACACAAGATTTTTTCATTTCTTTCTTGGATATTGTACACATTTTTATTTCCAAATGTATTCTAGACTCAGCTTGAATACACTTGCCTTATTCTAACAAAAATATTTAGAATCTTTATCAAGGTTCAGATAAATCTGAAGGTTAATTTAAGGAGAATTTATATTGATTTAATAATGATGTATCTTATCCAAAAAAGTGTATACTAAAAATGTATTTAGGGGGCCAGCCCCATGGCTAAATGGTTAAGTTCACACACTCTGCTTCAGTGGCCTGGTGTTCGCCCATTTGGATCCTGGGCACGGACCTACACACCACTCAAGCCATGCTGTGGCAACATCCCACATAAAAGAACTAGAATGACTTACAACTAGGATATACAACTATGTGCTGGGGCTTGGGGAGAAAAAGAAAAAGAGGAAGATTGGAAACAGATGTTAGCTTAGTGCCAATCTTTTTTTTTTTTAAAGAGGCGTTTTTTTTTTTAAAGATTGGCATCTGAGCGAGCTAACAACTGTTGCCAATCTTCTTCTGTTTTTTTTTTTTTTGGCTTTATCTCCCCAAACCCCCCTGTACATAGTTGTATATCTTAGTTGCAGGTCCTTCTAGTTGTAGGATGTGGGAGGCCGCCTCAACGTGGCCTGACGAGCGGTGCCATGTCCATGCCCAGGATCTGAACCCTGGGCTGCCACAGAGGAGTGCGCAAACTGAACCACTCGGCCATGGAGCCAGCCCCTTAGTGCCAATCTTCCTCAAAAAAAAAAAAAAAATGTATCTAGGGGGATGGTCCAGTGGATAGTGGTTCACGCCCTCTGCTTCAGCGGCCCAAGGTTCACTGGTTTGGATCCTGGGCACCAACCTACACACTGCTAATTAAGCCACACTGTTGCAGCAACCCACACAGAAGAACTAGAATGACTTACAACTAGGATATACAACTATGTGCTGGGGCTTGGGGAGAAAAACAAAAAGATTCCCTTAAATTGAAACATCTTTGTGATAGATAGAAAAGATATTTCACTCAATTCTTCTCCAATTAGTCTATACATTCTTTGCAATTCTAATTAAAATCCCAACAGGATATTTTTCCCTAGAACTAGATAAACTGATTCTACAATTCAAATGGAATCATGGAGGTCCCAAAATAGCTGAGAAGTTTTTGAAAACCTAAGAACAACATGTCTGTGGCAGAAAGTGGGAAAATCCATGTCCAAGCAAATAGAGTTATTATAAATTTATAGTAACTAAAACAATGTAAACACACACACACACAAACAGTATAGTACTGGTATAGATATAGACAAATAGATTAAAGAATAAAAAGCCTAGAAACAATTAAGCATGTATATGATGGTGGCATCACAAAGATCTATTTAATAAATGGTGTTGGAACAACTGGTCTTTTACATGCAAAAAAATTCTACTGATAGCATTATCAGTAAATCCTTACCTCAAACCAATTACAAAATTAAATTCCAGTTGGATTTAAGACTAAATATGAAAAACAAGGGTTTGAAAAGAGACTATCTACTTCACCTAATATTAGGAAAGAGACCTTAGAAAAGACCAACAGCGGCAACTCCTGAAAGAAAGGACTATTAAATACTGATGTTGTATATTAATTTTGACTGAATTCGTATTGTACGTGCATATTTATCATACACTAAATGTAACTATCCAAACTTAAAGTGTCTATACAACAAAAAGATACATGAAACCATAGAAGGGACAGATTAGAAGATATTTACATAAATCCTAATGCTGAAGCAGGCATTCTTGAAATTCTCTAATTTCAAGGAGAAAAAGGACTAACAATATAAAATGGACAAATAAATATGAACAGTCAATTGGAAAAATTTTCATTTCTTCACTCATGAGGGGACTTCAACCTGTACAGTATCACAGAGTGTGGCCCTGGAGTCAGGCTGTAAGAGTTTGAATCCTGGCTTTACTACACACTGGATGCATGAAGTTAGGTAAACTTCTTAACCTCTGTGCTTCACTCCCCTTCTCTGTAAAAAATAAATACCTACTTTATAAGCTTTTGATAATGATCACATGAAATAAGTTATGTAAATTTACAGCACAGTACACCTGGCACGCAATAAGTACTCAATAAAGCTGTTACTGTTGTAGAGGATTTCTCTAGCTGCTGTGTAGTCTATTCACATATAAATAAAAACTGCCATGGGATATATTCATATCTATATTCTAGAATGAATTTGGGACTGTATGCCCAGGAATATAGGCAGTCCACTTCTACGTGACAGTCCAAACCAAAACATCTGCTTCTTATTTTTTTTATGTATTTATTATTTATTTATTTCTTTGAGGAAGATTAGCCCTGAGCTAACAACTGCTGCCAATCCTCCTCTTTTTGCTGAGGAAGACTGGCCCTGAGCTAACATCTGTGCCCATTCACCTCTACTTTATATGTGGGATGCCTAGCACAGCATGGCTTGCCAAGCGGTGCCATGTCTGCGCCTGGGATCTGAACTGCCGAACCCTGGGCTGCCGAAGTGGAATGTGTACACTTAACCGCTGCGCCACTGGGCCGGCCCCTGGCTCTTGTATCTGAAAGGAACTGCTGTGAATTTTTTGACAGCTAGAGTGTCCTATTTGAGGATCACAACTCCTTCATCTCCAGCTCTTTACTCTAAAAAAATTGCATGTGTGAATCATTTGGAATCCTCTCATAAAAGAAGGACATTACACACCAATTCAGAATACACCTAAAAAATGTATCCGCAAATCTGAATGGTCTATTTCTTTGTGACATGATTATGTTTAAATATTTATTGGGCACTTGCGTTTCTTCTAACTGCTTCTTTGTGTTCTTCATCCAATTTTCTGAATTGTTAGTATATTTCTGCTGTATGTATTACAAAAACTGTTTCCAGTTTTGCCTTATTACAGTGTTTATGGTAGTTTTACTAAAAAGGATTAATTTTATGAATCCAAATCAGACATCTTCTTTTATTGGTTTCATATGTTAAACTAAAAAGGCAGGTCAATGAGTACAGCCAACATATCTAAAACCCTTTTCAAGTAGGAAAGACTGATCCAGCTAACAATTACTAATACTTATCATTTATGGAGCACTATCACTTACAGTGCATTTAACCCTGCCAACATTCCCACATGATAAACACTACTACTATCCCCACTTACAGATGATGAAACTGAGGTCAAAGAGATTAAGAAACTTGTCTATAATCATGCATTCAGTAAGTTGTTGAGCCAAGATTTCAAACCAAGTCTGTCTAGGCCCAGAAAACCACTCTGCCAACAGGAGAAATAACTGGATAAGCCACATGATCATAATGATCAAAAGAGGTGTGTGTGTGTTTCAGGATGGGAAATATGAGCTGAGGAAAAGAGGCACTGAAGTGGAAAATATTTAAAATATTTAGGGGCAAGCCTTGTGGCAGAGTGGTTATGTTTGCGCGCTCTGCTCGGTGGCCCAGGGTTTTGCCGGTTCGAATCCTGGGTGTGGACATGGCACCACTCATCAAGCCATGCTGAGGCAGCATCCCACATGCCACAACTAGAATCGACCCACAACTAAAAATACACAACTATGTACCGGGGGGCTTTGGGGAGAAAAAGGGAAAATAAAATCTTTTAAAAAAAAATTTAATTTTTAAAAAATATTTGTGTGAGGGATTTAAACATTTGTGTGGCGGATTCCAGAGTTGGAAACAAAAAGAATCAGGAGCAGAGGAGAATGAGTCATTTTATAAGAAGATAAGGAATACTGTATCTTCTGAGACCATAAAAGAAAGATGTAGAGTGCTATGAAGACCAGAACTATAAGATTTTGCCATAAAATATTAGTATATATTTTAGCTCAACATGTAAAAATCTCAACTGAAGAAAATATACAGTCATGTACTGCTTAACGCCAGGGCTATGTTCTGAGAAATAAGTCTTTTGGCAGCTTCCTTATGTGAACATCAGAGTGCACTTACACAAACTTGGATGGTATAGCCTACTACACACCTAGGCTCTACGGCACAATCTTATGGGACCATTGTCACATATGCCATCCCTCATTGACCAAAATGTCATTATGTGGCGCATGACTGCATGTGTAAGATCATTTGAAAGACGTGTTTCATTTAGTCTTCCAGATTTCAGTTTTTAATCTTTAGCCAAGACAGACTTTAAAAAAACTGAGTTTAATATTACAAGAATTTCAGAATTATTTTGAAATTTCTTTTTGACCTAGGTACCAATGAACGGCTTTTTCTTTCCTTAATTATAAGCTTTGCATAAACAGTGCAAATTATGGAAACTTCTGTGTCCCAGTTTGCTTCTGCTTCTCCAGAGCATATTCAAATTTGAACTCAACTTTAATAATTCTGTATGGATCTCTTTCTGCACAGCCATATCTGAAATTTCAACTGGTTCTGATCTTCTATCTGCGTTTTTCCTCACCTTAATTTTCATTGATTTAGTTTTCCAACTTACTGGTAGGTTAAGGTAACCCACTGCAACTGCATTGCAAAATAATGCAGCAACAAATAAATGCTTAAAACGTACAAGAGACCTGGTCATATCCTCTTCTTCCTTGAAAAGGGCAGAGTCCTGAGAACGCCAAGCTGAGGGAAGAGAAATAAATCAGATTTACTTCAAAGCTCCAGACAAAGGAAATCTTCAGTACCAGGTGGGTATAATATCTCCTATAATGTTCCTCAGAGCACTGAGAAATGTTAACTACCACCAGGCTATAAAGACACTGAAATGTACATGGATAACTAATTTAATCATAGAGAGTCCAACGGCAATTTCTGGAGGGCTAAATATAGGGTGTCCAATGAATCTACTGACGATATAGTATTTCCTAAAGAACCTGCTATTTTATTCTTAATAGAAAATTTATCTTAAGTACATAGTAATAAATACTACAAAGATTTAAGGATTAAATCATTTATAAAGCACTGTAAAAATTTGAAAAAAACTTTAATCAGAGACAAGTTATAGGCATTGTGGAACATTCAAATGACAGAATGAAATGCAGGTATGACTCTAATGACATTTTTAAATAACTTAATTGATTTATTTTTTACCCTAAAAAACTCAGGGCCTTTAGGTGAAAAATGGAAGACTGAATACTTGCATTTATTTCTGTTCTCTCCCAAACCCAACCAAAATGAAAGGAACAAAGGAAGTTGAATCTCACAAGGTCAAAGAATATAGAAGACAAGAGATGTCTTGTCAGCAGATGAGAGATGTCAACAAAATTTTAGAAGCTAGAGAGCAGACAGATGACTGGTATTCTAACTTAACTAGAGAAAGCTGAACCTTAAGTGAGGGTGAGGGGAGGGTGGGGAAACCATGGCAGAACCCTTTACAAGCTCAGGAATGGGGGCCGGCTCAGTAGCGCAGTGGTTAAGTTTGCACATTCCGCTTCGGCAGCCTGGGGTTCGCCGGTTTGGATCCCAGGGGTGGACATGGCACCACATGGCAAAGCCATGCTGTGGCAGGTGTCCCACATATAAAGTAGAGGAAGATGGGCACGGATGTTAGCTCAGGGACAATCTTCCTCAGCAAAAAGAGAAGGATTGGCAGCAGATGTTAGCTCAGGGCTGATCTTCCTCAAGAAAAAGCTCAGGAATGGGGGCACGAGCTACTTCTGCAGGCAGGAGTTTGGGGTGGGGCTGAAAAACGGAAATGAATATGGAGTTGAAGCAATGTATAGAAAATAAAAGAATTAAGTGAAAGTTGTCATATTGTAAGATGAGGTCGTGTGTCCCTGTGTTGTGTCCAGTGCTTCCCCACCTTTCTTCCTTTGTTTGCCTCCTCAAAGCAGGAGTTCTGGCTTATATTCCTCAAGCAAAATCTAGGACTTCTTGCTGGGAAAATTGACTAGCTCAAAAGAAAATGGATACAGATCCTGACATATGGTCAACCTTCAACCTCTAATAAAACACCATATTAGAAAGAAGGGCAAGGAGAAGGGGGGGAGGGTGAGGTGAGGGCAACAAGGAAGGGGTTAGGTAGAAAACAGACATAAATCCTTATCTCCAATGTCAAATGTCAGTAGGAAATGTCTAAGCCTGAGAAATCAAGCATTAGCAGTATGAAGACGTTATTCATAAAGGTGGAGCTGAATACTGGAATATCCAAAAAAAAATGTTCAAAGGTTGCCTCTGGAAAGTGGGAACAGGGGATGGGTAAGGATGGAATAGGAAACTTTTGTTTATGGTTATAATATTTAACAGCACTTTCTAAAATGTATTTAAGAAAAACAGAAATGACATTTAAAACATTTATTTTTAAAGAATCAAATAGTCAGGTGAATACAAATGTCTACCCAACACAGTCAATAACACCCATGTGAACTTTCTTGGTAGGAGTACTGAATTTTCTAACTCTTTTTACTCTGTCCCTGAACGTACAGCCTTCCTCTCCTAAACTCTGCTGATCTCTGAACCACCTCACCTCTCCTTCCCATCATCTGGCTCAAATGCTCCATTGCCACACAGCTACTGCTGATCTCTGAAGGTTGAGATGTCATTCAGGCCTCGCCCATTCTGAACAGAAGGGTAAAGAGAGACTGCAGCTCCAGCAATTCCCAGGCCCACTCTATCCCAGGACACTCCAGCCTCTGGAGGTCGTCTCAGGTCAGGAGATCTTCTTCCACGATAGATACCTGCTCTTCAATCTTCTTTCTACTCACATCACAGATCTGTCTTATCTTCGTGGAGCCAGGACCTGTGGGTTTACAATATAAATCCAATTTACCTAATGTCTTCTTACTGGACCCGTAACGGTAACTAGCCTCTAAGATGGCTCCCAATGATCACTGCCTTCAGCTTTTTCTACACCCCTCCCACACTGAATAGAGTTGACCTATATAACCAACAGGATACTGCAGGAATCACAATGTATGACTTCCAAGATTAGGTCATAAAACACATTGCGGCTTCTGTCTTGCACATTTTTGAATCACGCTCTTTGTGGGAAGCCACCCACCATGCCATGAAGACTCTCAACCAGCCCTAGGGAGAGGCTCCTGTCAGCAGCCAACAATAACTTGCCAGCCATCTTGGAAGCAAATCCTCCAGCTCCAGTCTAGCCTTCTAATGACTGCAGCCCTGCAGACACCTTGACTGCAACTTCATGAAATATCCAAGCCAGAATACCCAGCTAAGTCACTCTCCACTCCCCAAAGAAACCATGAGATAATGTTTATTGTTGTTTAAGCCACCAAATTTTGAGGTAATTTGTTACATAATAATAGATAACTAATCAGTCCTGAACAATTAGCTTCCTTGCTTGTAATTCACATTCCCTGGAGTCACTGACCAGAGATGCTGGATGCAGAGACAGCAGGAGTCTGGAGGAAAACTCAAAGACTCAGCAACCTAGGTTAAACCTAGTGCTCAACAGAGACACCAAGAGTCCAGAAACAAAGTGAATATAATAGTGACATTCACATAACATTTGCTCCTCAAATATCTTCTGTCAGCATAAAGGTATAGGCCTGATGCCATGACAGACATAAAATTGAGTCAAAAAACACTCAGATTTGCAGCGAACCCAGATTTGGAGTTAAAAAGAGATGCAGCTACTCCATTTCCTATCCATCTTAGCAAGTGAGGTAAAAGAGAGTTGCAATTTAGAATTTCCATACTCTTCATTTGAAATGAAAATTATACTCATGTTACGTTATTGGATGAATAGATAAAATGGATATTAAGAAATATTAATTTATCATCTGCTATGAGTCTTTGCTAGGTAAAAGGGTAAAAAAAATGATACATAAGAGAGTAGACTAATCCTTGCTCTGTATGATAAAACAGAAAACATTCAATTATAATAAATTTTGAGAAGTGCTATGCTTGGGATATACTACTAATATCACTCACATGGTTTCTATTTTTTCCCCCAAAGCAATTATCACTAACAAATTACATACATAGTTGTCATACATATTGTCTGTCCACCCTCTCATTTAAACTCCATGAAAACAGGGATTTATTTTTGTCTGTTTCTGTCGTTGATAGTAGATGTCAAAAAAATGTTGATAAAATGGTGTAGCTACTATGAAAAACAGTATGCTAGTCAAAAAAATCAAAAAGAGAATTACCATATGATACAGAAATTCCACTTCTGGGTATATATCCAAAAGAACCGAAATCAGGGACTCGAACAGATATTTGAACACCCACGTTTATAGCAGCATTATTTGCAATAGTCAAAAGGTGGAAACAACCCATGTCCACTGACCTGTGAATGGATAAACAAACTACAGTATATACACACAATGGAATATTATTCAGCCTGAAAAAGGAAAGAAATTCTGACACACGCTTTAACATGGATGAACCTTGGAGACATTATACTAAGTTAAATAAACCAGTCACAAAAGAACACATACTGTATGATCTGGCTTATATGAGGTACATAAAGTAGTCAAATTCATAGAAACAGAAAGTAGAACGGTGGTTGCCTGGGTGGCAGAGAGAAGGATCAGGGAGTTATTGTTTAATGGGTGAAGAGTTTCTGTTTTGCAAGGTGAAAAGAGTTCTATGGACATACGCATACATCTGTGATACCAATACCACAACCAAAGTACTAAACATACCCATCATCTCCAAAAATTTGCTTGTGTTCTTTGTGTTTTATGTTTTTTTGGTAAGAACACTTAACATGGTATCTATTCTCTTAACATATTTTAAAGTGCATAATACTATACTGTTAATATAGGTACTATGTCGTACAGATCTCTAGAACTTATTCATCTTGCATAACAAACTTTGTACCCACTGAAAAGCAATTTTCCATTTCCCTCTTTCTTCCAGCCCCTGGCAACCGCTATTTTATCCTCTGTTTCTTTGAGTCTATTTTAGATACTTCATATAAAAGGAATCATGTAGTATTTGTGCTGTGACTGGCTTATTTCACATAGCATAAGGTCCTCAAGGTTCATCCACGTTGTCACAAATGGCAAGATTCCCTTCTTTCTTAAGGCTGAATAATATTCCATTGTATGTGTGTACCACATTTTCTTTATTCATTCATCTGTTGATGGATAGATGTTTCCAATCTTGGCTACTGCAATGAACATAGGAGTGCAGATATTAATATGGTAAATTTCATGTTATGTGTTTGTTATCTGTATTTTACCACAATTTTAAAAAATACATATATAAGTTGAACAAATGAAATACTATTACTAATTTGGGGTATTGAAACTAGAAGAAAATAATATATCAAACAAGAATAACAGAAATGGGTGTGTAGTTTGGAGTTCAAGTGTTCTAAAGTCTTGTTTAAGTGCGGGTTTTGTTAAACATGCCCGTTAAAAATTCAACAATAAGAACAGAAACCAAAGCAGTGGAGAGAGAAAAGAGGCTAAGGTATACCTGCATAATAAATAGAAAATAAAACAAATTTATATGAGCAATCACAATAAATGTAAATGAATTAAACTCACCTATTAAAATAACAAACAGGATAAAAGGGGGAAAAAAGCCCAGCAATATGCTCTGTACAAGAGATGTACCTGAAGCATAAAGACACAAAGAGAAAGGGTTGGAAAATAAAATGCCTGGAAAATACTCACAATAACAAAACCTGAAAAGCAACACTATCAGACAAAAGAGAACGTAGACTAAAACACATTCACCAGAATAGAGGCATGCTTCTTAATGTGGTAGATTGGAATGTTGGTCTCAATTCTTCAGCCCCCTCTAACAGGATTATACATTCACACTTTTTGCCACGTTAACTCTGCCTCACTATCCAACGGTGGGTATGAGACAGGAACCAGCCTAACAAGACAGGACCATCTGCAAGGCCCCTGGCCTAACAAGCTAAGGCCCCTAACCAATTGGCAAGCTAGGAGAATCAGACAGAGGCCACCAAGATCTACATTCGGCAGCCTCTGGACTTTCTTGGGCTTCCACATGCACCCTAGAACTCAGGAGTCCACTGAAGGTGACCCTAGCCCCATTAGTATAGAAAAAAATCACACCCGGGGTAGAAAGCTAGCATGCTAATGATACATGCAACGCACGTGGTAGCATGTTGAACAACAGTGCAAGCAGAAGCACAACCCCACCTCTCCATGCCATGACAAGGCACTCCTCCCCAGCCTCTGCCTAACAAAAGCCCCACAATCCTGCTCCCGAATAAGCTGGTCACCTGCCCCTTTCCTTTCGCAACGGCTCCCTTGTGCCTCTCCTGTGCACAAGCTAATGAACTTTTACTTTTCTACTCCCATTTCTTGTCGATCTTGACTTCCATCCTGGGGGACAATAAGAACCCAATGTTCCGGTAACAGGTATAATTAACGTCAAGCTTAGCCATGTGGCTTGCTTTGGCTAATGTAATATTAGCATATTTGGGAGCAGAGGTTTTAAGGGTGTTTGTGAGATCTGTCTTGTGCTCCAGTGACCCACAATGAGAAGAACATATCCTAATAACCACAATTCTTTTAGCTAAAGCTGCAGAAAGAACACACGTGGAGATCTAAATCCATCCTGCAGCCCAGCCACTCAGCCAAGCGCAGCCTAGATAAGCTGAAGACAGAGAACCTGCAAACTGGCGAACATGAGAATAAATGCTTGCTGTTGTATGCCACCGAATTTAGGGGTGATTTGTTGGCAGCATCATTATCATGGCAACAGCTTACCAATGCACATAATAAAAGAGCAAGCCATAAGATGATGAGATAATGAATCTGGAAAGCATCACCAAGGAAAACTGAAAAGCAACAGAACACGTCAAGAACTTCTGGAGGGGAAAAGGCAGCAAAGGAGACTAAAAAGGAGTAGCCAATGGGGAAGGACGACCACTTGAAACCCAAGACAAATGTTTTTTCAAGCAGTTACCGGCTATGACAAAGGCTACACAAGCCAAATCACGTAAGAACCACCACACATATATCACAAACACCTCACCACAGACCTTTCATGACAATCACACAGACAACACCACACACGTCATCACAATCGCACACAACCACAAACATCACCATGACACACACATCCCATCACAATTACTCCATTGCACACACACACCATCACTCACACACATTAGCACAAGCACACACACAGGATCACAACCCCCCACACACTAACTCCCACCACACTTCCCTGTTCCAACAACCCCACCCACTCTCCAGGAGCGTACTCCCACCGCGAGCACTCCGCACGCACGGCCGCTACTCAGGACTCTCCCGGCCTCCTAAAAGGCCCCGCCCCGTCACGCGCGCGCCGGGATGCAGCCCAGACGGCTCCAGGCCCTTCCCTATACCCCGCTGCAAGTACGCGGCAGCGTCACCTGCCGGAAACGCCCGAATGCGCATCCAGCACGCAGTTTCTGGGAGGCTGGGTGACGGAGACCCGCAGGAAGGTCTGGGCGAGGCGCCGGCAACGCTGAACCATCCTCCGCGCCCGCCTCCCAACGGACGTGCCAGAGCACAACAGTTCCCAGAAGGCCTTGCGGCTGGACTCAACTTCCGGCCAAAATGTTCTGTTTCCTGCGTGACGGAGCGGGTGCGCCGGGTCCGCAGCGGAGGTTCAGCCGGAGCACGCCGGGCTTCTCTGCCTCGCAACTCTGAGACCCGGGAGGGCGCTGAGAGTTGCAGGAGCAGTAGTTTCAGGTGGGCCCAGGCCGGGCGCTGAGAGAGGTCGGCCGTGCGTCGCCTTCTGGACTACATTTCCCAGAGGCTCAGGCGGCCCGTCGCTCTTCTCGCAGGAACTCGAACGTTTCGTCACGCCTGGCGGGACCGTTAGATCCGTGAGGTGAGAACTCGTGGGCCCCTGGGGAACCGGCTCAACTCTGCAGGTTCCCGCCCCGGGAGACTCGAAAGGCCTAAGTTGAGGAGACCGGAGGCCGGTACGGACCTGGAACTTCGCGCCTGTGCGGGCGGAGCGGCATGAAGAGGGGAAGTTGTGGGATTGTCTAGGAGAGAGATCGTGACACTGAGACCTGTGTGCGGATGTAGGATGCCTGTCATTGTGGGGTTGTGACTGTGTGTTCCTGTGGTTGTATGTGATTGTGACCCTGCGGCACTGTGGGTGTAACTGTGTGTGTTCCGTGGTGAGTGTGTGATTGTGACTGTGTTACCGTATGTGGCTCTGTGTGGGGGTGTGTGGCATGCGTGTCCATTTAAGTATGACTCTGCTTAATGTATGTCGCATTGTGTGTGGGTATGGGCTCCTGTCAACTGTGCGATTGTGACTCCAGAACTCTGTCCCTAGGAAACCCCTGTGACGTTTGGTCAGATTATAGCCGTGGACAGCAGTGACCTCATCTTTTCCCTGAGACACTGGGATTGGGCAGAATACCCCATTCTCCTCTGATCTCCATTCCCTGTGTGTGATGGGGGCTGACGGCTGACCTCTGACCTGACCAGTTTGAGCGACTAGAAAAACCTGGTGTCTCACAGTTACTTTCTCCTCTCCTGCTTCCACCCTTCTCCGGGCCAGACGCAGAAGAGAAGGAAAGAATGCATGATGAACTTCTACAAGCAATGTCCAAGGTGTGTGTGGGGTTTCCTCTTTGCTGTCCTTCTTCTGAAAGTTAATGCTTAATAAAGATCGATCCCTATAGTTTCCCCATTGGAGAAAGGATAGTTGGGCCTGGTATTAAAGCCCAATACCTCCCATATACCTAATGTTTACTTATTTGGAAAATGCTCCACTTCCGTTTGCTGAGTTTTCTTCTTTTTAAATACAATATTTATTATGATTTTAAAATAAAAGCATGGTTATTTTAGAGGTTTCAAAAACACAGAATTACCAAGAAAAAAAAAATGTGACCACTCTAATTAACTAATGTTAATATTTTGCTGTATTTTCCAAAATCAAATTATACTTTATTTACCCTTTTATATCTTCCATTTTCACTGATAAGTGTCATTCTCCCGTGTCGTCAAATGGTTTTTGTAAAATACCATTTTTCAAAGGTACATATTATTTCTTTGTATGAATGAGGTATGGTTTATCCTTTTCTTTAGGTCAGTTGCATCAGACTGAAAGGTTTAAATATTTGTTTATTTATACAGACACACATATTTATACACACAGGTTTGAATTTGAATTTCCATGATTAATAATGAGATTAAACACCATATGTTTATTCCCTATTTGGGTTTCTTTTGTGACATGCCTGTTCAGATCTTTTACCTGTTTTGCTCTTGGATTATCTCTCTGGATTCATGGGAGTTCTTTATATAGTCTAGATATGGGTCCTTTATTGTTTATATTTTTCTATTTGGATTGTTTTATCACTTTTTTTTTTAAGGTGGTTTTATGAATAGAAGTCCTCATTTTTTTAACAAAGTCAAATTTATCAATTTGTTTTTCCTTTCTGGTTGGTGCTTTTTGTATCTTATTTAAGAAATCATTCCTTGTCCCAAGGTTATGCAAATATTCTCCCATATATATGATTAAAGCTCTAAGTTTTGCGTTTCCCATTTATATATTTAATCCACCTCTTACTGGCTTTTCTGTATAGTGTAAAGTAGGGGTCAGGGTTGGTTTTTTTCTCCCTTATGAGTATCCAAATTTTCTCGGCACCATATATTAGAATGTCAATTGTGTTCCCACTAGTCCACAAATATATCCGGTGTCCGTATGTGCATGGGTATGTATATGAGCTGTTGGTTCTGTTCTGTTGATCTATGTGTATATCCCTGTGCCAGTATCACACAGTCTTGTTTATTCTAGCTCCTCTATCCTTTGAAGATAATTTGGCTTTTCTTCCTCTGGCATAAGACTTCCTCTCTCTGTTTTTGGTTTTGCATAATTTTCGTATAATGTGCCTGAGTGTGCATTTCTTTTTATTTATCTGCTTGGAATTTGTAGGGGTTTTTGAATTTAGCTACACATAAATGTCTAATAAATAAATGTCTACTAATAAATGTCTTTTATTAGTTCAGGAAAATCCTCAGCCATCTTTAAAGATTGTTGCTGCCCCATTTTCTCTCTTCTCCTTCTCAGGCTCTAGTTACACATAGGTTGGTATTTCTCATTATTTCTTTTTTCATTTCTTAATCTTTTTGGTTTTTAGAGTTGACACTTAACAGCTCAAATCAAAGCAATATTAAGCAAAAGAACATTGCCTTGTTTCAGGAAGAGGCAGAGAGTGTGGCAGGTAGCTAGAGTTTTTGGGTTATTCCCCCAACTAGTAGTAAAAATATCTTTATTCATTTGTGTTTCAACACTTCTAATCTTGGGGAACTCACTAAATCATAAGGCTATCCATTTATCTTCTGATTCTCTTACCTGAAAGTTAGAGTGTATCAAGGGAGAGGACTTAGAATAGGGAGAGGGTTTTCTCAAGGTATAAATTTAGAACTGAGTGGGTCACTCTCAGTTTTTAAAATGTATGTGTTTGGTACAGAGGCAAAGAAAATAAGGATAAGAATCAGTCTCCCCAAATCTCTTCAGCTCAAGGCCTTTCTATCTGAATTTCTTTAGAAGAGGGCTGAGTCTTTGCAACCCCTTCTCCCGTGCAAAGCCGAAATAGAATATCTTGTTCCTCTCTGCTATCAGCCTGTAATTACTCTTACCATCTCTATAGTGAATATTTTTGCCCAATATTAATGGGAATAACTCTAGGGAGCTAGTATACTATAGTAGAAAATAAATTTTTAAAGGAATAAAATGAATTTTGTTCTCAGAAGCTAATGTAATGCTTCATCAGGAAATATCTGAAGCATTCCCAGTAAGATCAGAGAAAAGACAAGGATATACAACATTACCAATGTTATTTAACATTGTTCTGTAGGTATCAACTAAACTACATAGACAAGAGAAAAAAATTGTATTAAAAATTAGAGAAGAGTATGTAAGATTATAACTTTTTTTTTTTTTTGATGAAAATTGGCCCTGGGCTAACATCTGTTGCCAGTCTTCCTCTTTCTGCTTGAGGAAGATTGTTGCTGAGCTAACATCCATGCCAATCTTCCTCTGTTTTGTATGTGGGATGCCACCACAGTATGGCTTTATGAGCAGTGTGGAGGTTCTTGCCTGGAATCCAAACTTCGAACTCCGGGCTGCCAAAGCAGAGCATGTGAACTTAACTGCTATGCTAGCAGGCTGGCCCCAGGTTATCACTTTTTGCAGGTGAAAACCAAATCGACTTATAACTAGCACTTTGAAATAAGCAGGACTCCATAGAAAGCAAGCAAAAGAAAGTATCTTCCCCATAATTTCCACTCTCAACTCTTTATGGGCTAATTTTTTTGTTGCCCTGGATAAAAATTTGTGCAGTCCTTATAATTGTTTTGATCACTCTTTGGTATCCTTTGGTTGTTTTCAGTCACCGAATCAGTCTCATTTTGCTGATTACAGCCTCTAGTTGAGTGTAGTAATATGTAAGTTTCATTTTAAGCCTTTTCTCTGAGCTGAGGCTTGCTTCAAGCTAGAAGCTTGCTGTGTGAAAAGGGGGACATACTAAGCGTCTTTGTATTCTCAACCTGAACTTCTCTTTCTTGGCCAGTAGGCAGTTTCTGGCTCCTATGAAACTGCTACAGGGGTAGGGAAGAGGAGGTAAGGAGAAAAGTCTTACTTGACTGGTACTGTTGTTTTGGTCTTGGTCTCTCTTACTTTTATGGATGTTCAACACTGACTCGTTTTCTTATGGGGTGCTTTTATGGGATTCTCAGAGAAGCCCCTGCTAGAAACCTCTAATTGCACTTCCCATATTGTGGGCAGTATATTTCTTTTAAATGGCTACTTGTAATACCTGTCATAAAATTGGGCATTCTGTGACCCACTCCTTTGTTAGGGTCACATTGTCCCTCCATTGGGTCCACATCTGATCCAAGATGGGGAATAGGTACCAGTCTCTGTTCCCTCCAAACTCCAGGGAACACAGCAAAAATTCTAAACAATCTCACCCTTCTACTTTTGACCCTGGAGTTTAAAGGGGCCCCCTTGGTTGGCCTAAGATGAAGGAAAAGTAACCTAATTTCTTAAATGGGAAAGGAATGTCTCATTTTCCAAACAACAACCAATTTTTAGACACCAGCTGGGTATCCTACAATTCAGTTCAGTTCAGTCCTGACACTAACTACCCAGAGTTAACACAGGCGCCACAGGTTAAGGGGCTCAGTTTCACAAGACTGCCCTACTTGAGAGACCAGCCCCAAGTCTCCAGTGTCCCCAAGGCACTGCACTTCTGTCCATCAAACCACAAATTCAGGCATTCCCACGATCCCCACTCAGGTTCAATAATTTACAGTCATGCTCCGCATAATGATGCTTGAATCAACGACAACCCGCGTATATGATGGTGGTCCCATAAGATTAGTACCATATAGCGTAGGTGTATAGTAGGCTATACCATATAGGTTTGTGTAAATAGACTTTATGATGTTTACACAATGACAAAAATCACTTCACGAAGCGTTTTCTCAGAACGTATCCCCGTCATTAAATGATGCATGCCTGTATTAGAATGACTCATGGAACTCAGGAAAGCACTATATTTATGATCATGGTTTTATTATAAAGGGTACAACTCAGGAACAGCAAGACAGAAGAGATACATAAGGCATGGTATGGGCGGGAGGACCATATCTGGAAAGGATCTTAAGGATTTTGCCTAACAAAATGTGTGAAATAAAAGGTTTATTCAGTAATGTTTTATTGTGGAAAATTCTGCCACCAATAACATTTAAAAAGTTAAAGAGTTTATGTTAATAGAGAAAATTCTTATAACAGTCATAAGAGAAGTACAGTTTTCAAGGAATTTAAATTATGCTCTTGTCTAAGGTAGTGATATTTTAAATTAATATTTAACCAGTTTTGCATTTTGAAAATTCAAGAAATATTAAAAGATTTAATGAAAAATTGGCAGGGCACTGTCCCACTACCAATCCTACTCCTCTCAGGTGGCTACCCTCAACTCTTTTTGCTGTTTCTTTTGGCACTTTTCCTATATTTTAATTAATATTCCTATGTTGCTGTTTTCGATAGAAATTTTCTAATGATTTCCTTAAGGTAGGTAAAGTCAGTATGGATTGAGCTTTCCCGTACCACATTCCTCATTCCCGTCCCCTCCAAAGAGTTACATCACAATTTTTCTTTACATCATTAATATCCATGGGATAGGACCTTGCAGATATTGTTAATCTGAGTCAAGTAGTACACTAGACCCTAGTGGGTTTTTTTGTAGAATTTTTATTTTTCTGAAGGTAAATTGCTTTGTTTCTTCATTTGCCTGGTTCCCATCTATACGTTGCTAATTTTTTTTCCAAATCCACCAATGTTGCTGTCAGTTGCCTATCAATAATTCCCATGTGATCAAATATATTGGCTCTTTATTTTTCCTTGGAGACCCCTCTCCCATAGTTCTCTGTCCTCCTCTTCCTAGGTGTTGTTCTCTAGCTCTGTTGCCAGATATTGTCCTGCCTTTTACAATTATACTGGGACTTTGTTTAGCATTCTCATGTTAGTTTTCTAGTTTCTGAATATAATACCTTTCTTTTTCTTAATTTAACCCCTAATTTTGATGGGACACATAGGCCAGTAGCTTCCTAAGATAAGCTGGATAGGAGATAATTTTATCATTTCCTGCACATCTAGAATTGTCTTCATTTCATCTTCACATTAGCTTGGTATTTAATCTTGCTTGGTATATTATCTTCGTACTACCTTTGGCTGGGTATAGAATTCTAGACCAGAATTCATTTTCCTTTGTAATATTAAAAGAATCACTTTGTTTTCTTATTTTAAATGGTGCCGTTGAGAAGTCCATTGCCATTCTGATTCCTGAAAATTTTTATGTGGTCCACATTTTCTTCCGGAAAGATTTAGGAAGTTCTCTTTTTCCCCGATATTCTGAAATTTTACTCCAAAGTATATTGGAAGATTTTTTTTAAAGTCCATGACATTTTTTCCTCTCTTGGGGCTTAAAGGGAAGATGGAAAGGGGGAAGGAACTCGCATTTATGCAGACTTTACTACGGTCAGGCATTGAGCTGCATGCTTGCTATTTCTTCTCAGAGGAAAAGTTCACTCTGTTTGCACATTCCTGGATGTATCCCTCTGTGCATGGGAGATGTGTCTTCTACTGAGGTAGTAGGATTCCTGCCCCTTCAATTTGCTTAATAGTCTTTGTCCTTTTCTTTAGAGCCCTCTACCGTCTCCTCTACTACCATCTTTTTCTTCTCTCCTTCCATTGTGAAAGCATGTTTGTTGTTTCAGGGGTCAATGATGTTCAGGGATGTGTCTATAAACTTCTCTCAGGAGGAATGGGAATGCCTGGACTCTGGTCAGATGAATTTATACAAAGAAGTGATGTTGGAGAATTTCAGCAACCTGGTTTCAGTTGGTAAGGATAACTATCTCCCAAAATTTGGAGTCTGCCCTCGGGAATGTCTCCTTTCTCCATTGTGAATTATTCTTTTCAAGTAACCAGCTAAATTTCTGCTCCCTGTTCCCCAAGGAATGGTTTGAGTTGGAATGGAATGGAAGAGTTGGAAATGGGCAGCTCCAGTGGGCTTCAGCTGAAGCTTCATCTTCCTCTGGTCCTTCCTGTAGTGGCATCTCTTGATCACCAAGGGACTGGATCTGATATCTGGGACACCAACAGCATAACCATGTCCCATGTCTTTTCTTGTGATCAGGACTTTCCAATTCTAAGCCAGCTGTGATCTCCTTATTGGAACAAGGAAAAGAGCCCTGGATGGTTGACAGAGAGCTGACTAGAGGCCTTTGTTCAGGTAAGTGAGAGATGATAGGGCAGGAGCAGAACCCTAGGAGATACTATCTGTAGGATGTTATCAGGAAACTCCCCTCAAAGACCTAAGGCCTCTTCCATAGGAGCTATCTTGCTTTTCTTTTCTCTTTACTTTCTTCCCATTCCAGTGTGGCAAGTACCTTCCTTCTTCATTTCCAAGACAAGTTATTCTACCTACATTTTAGATTTCATTCCTTCTTCATAGGATTTGCTGCATTTAGACTTGTATAACGGTAGATATTCACACCCTAAGAAGCACATACGTTTGTGTATATTTGTCTCTGTGTTGGCTTTTATTTTATCTTCTTTCCAATTATTTATTAACTTTGTTGACCATTTTTACTTTTTAAAAAATTCTTTACTTTTTAAAAAACTCTGTCCCTTCCCAATCACTAGCCGCCTTGTCCTCTCTCAAAATAAACACCATCCTGACTTCTAACACCATGGATTAATTTTGCCTGTTTTTGAGCTTTATGTGAATCGAGTCATACAGTGTTTATTCTTTTGCCTTGTTTTTTTTTTTTTTGCTCAACTTTATGTTTATCAGATACATCTATGATATTGCATATAGCTGATGTTGGTTCATTCTTGTTGCTATGTTGTATTCCATTCTATGAATATATTTTATATTATGTATTGTATGTTGTTGTTATAAATTATGTATCCTTTCTACTATTGACAGTTGGGTTGTTTTCCAGTTTTTAGCTATTATATGTAATACTGCTGTGAACATTTTTGTACATACCTTTTGGTACATATATATATATACACCTTTCTTTTGGGGATATAGCTAGGAGTGGAATTACTAGGTAATAGGATATGTGTATGTTCAACTTTAATAGATAATGCCAGTTTTTCAAAGTGGTTATACCAATTTATACTTCCACCAGCAGCATGAAAGTTGCCATTGTTCTGCATTCTTGCCAATTCTTGATATTGTTAGACCTTTTAATTTTAGCCATTCTGGGTGTGTGTATGTGTGTGTTTTGTGACCTGCCTGTTTGTTTCTTGGCTAAATTCATTGGGTTGTCTGTCTTTTTCTTAGTGATTTGAAGGAGTTCTTTATATATTCCATATATGAACTCCTTGTAAATATCTTCTACCACTCTGTAGCTTACTTTTTTATTAATGTTGGCTTTTGATGTTATTAATTTTAATGTAGTCAACCTTATCTATCTTTTCCTTTATAGTTGTAGCTTTTTTGTGTCCTGTGTAGGAATCATTGCCTACCCCAAAGTCATGAAGATATTTTCTGCATTATATTCTAGTAGCTTTATTGTTTTACCTTTTACATTTAGATCTACAGTTCCTTGGAGTCGATATTTGTGTATAGTGCGAGATATGGGGTCAAATTTCATTTGTTTCCATGTGAACTTCCAGTTGACCAACAATGTTTATTGAAAAGTCTATCTTTTTTCCATTCTTTGTAAGGCTACCTTTGTCATAAATCATGTGTTCCTATATCTTTGAGTCTGTCTCTGGACTTTATTATGTTCCATTGGCTTATTTGTCTACCCTCATCCCAATACCACACTATAATAATACTGTAGCATGTAATAAGTTTTGTTATCTGGTAGAGCAAGTTCTCCTTGCTTCTTCTCTTCATCTTTTGCATTTTCATATAAAGTTTAGAATCAGCTTATTAATATTCACAATGCAAAAAATAGCTGTTGACATTTTTATTGAGGTTAAAATGAATTTATGCATCATTTTCTGGAGAATTAACATTTTAAAATAGCTACATGTCTTTTATAGCTACACCATCTTTTTCACATTTTGGAGCAGCTGGCTTAAGGCAAAACTATTATTTTTTTGATAAAAACATTTCCCATTACATCTCTCCTAACTTATTCCCAGATGGTCTCAATGACCCATATTAATTATAATTTTTAACCACAGAAAAATATGGGAGGTACGTAATTGAGAACCGTCATACATAAATGTTTTTAACAGACTAGAAACATCCTTAGCTCATGTGATACCAATCCCCACAGCCAGCTACATCCCTTTTAAGCCCTTGTAAAAAGGACAAAAATGGATGTGTTTGTTTACATTACCCAGAGGTATAGCCACTCTCTGACATAAAAAATAATAGTTATACATATTAAATAATAATGGTATATGTTTTAAAACTATCCTTGGGGACCATTGTTTTAATATTTTATCTTAGAAATCTTTCAGCTTTCCAAAGGTTATCCATTGATTTTCCTTATTTAATGAGCAAGATCTTAAGTTAACTAAGAATCTTGGGTATTATATTTAAGCTGACACGCTACAGAGGAACACAATTACTTTTGATATCAAAAAGTTTGAAAGGATTATAATTCAATTTAGTTTAACACATAATTTTACAGTTTTTATAATCTTAAATGTTATACTTTACACTGGTAAAGTCAAGAGGAAGATAGCTATTTTAAAACCAAAAGTAAATCAGTCTGATTTGTCTAAAGATTCACCTCAAACCCTTGAAACTTGGATTCTTTTTTTTTTACACAAAGATAATTATTTAAGACCTGCAGAATCCTAGTGTATAACCCCAATACCTATTCTACCTCACTGGTCTGCCTTGTTCTCCTGCACTCTGGTTGTCAGCACCCTCCATCACTTCTTGCACAGGAGGATTGGAATACTGTGGTTGACGCCCACAGGGACTCCGCATGTAGTAAGATGGGAGCCGTTGTCGCCTGTGGTAGGGCCGGCGCTGTTGGGCCTGACCTTTGAGAGCACTCTCCGATCCCTCGTTCTTTTCTCCACTCTCACTCTTCTGGTAATTCTGCTGGCAGTTGCGTGGAGGATCCCTGCCGCGTGGATAGCATCTGTAATGGTTACAGTCTGCTGTGTATTTACTTCCTTGCACTGGAACTCCACCAGGACCTGTAACATTTGCTGCCTCCGCACCCTTTTCTCCTTCACCAACATCAAACTCCACAGTCTCTCTGTCTCCTACACTGTGAAGGTACTTCCTGGGATGATTCTTCTTCATGGCAGTCTGGTACACAAATACGTCTTCCTTGGTGTCATTCCTGTTGATGAAACCAGATCCGTTTCTTACCTTGAACCATTTTACTGTTACCAAAACCTTCGTTGGCATGACCTTCTGGTTCCCACCGGCAGGCTCTACGGGTGTGAGGCCGCCCAGACTGCCGCCCCCTGGACTGCCGTCCGTGGTGCCGGGCTTGGTGTCAGCAGCGGTGAGGGTAGGGTCGGGGGGGGGCAGCGGGCGGCTGCTGGCTCTCGGCCTCGCTGCTCACGGTTGCAGTGATGGTGACTGGGGCCGGCTGCGGCTCCTCCCGGGGTATGATGGTGACCAGGCCAGCGGCGGGGGCGGGGCTGCTCAGGGCTTTCTTGCGTCTGCCCTCCGCTCCCACTACCGCTGGAACTCGAAACTTGGATTCTTAAATTTGTTTTTTAATTTCTTTTTTTGAGCTAGCTCTTCTTTTGAAGTTTGTGAGGTTTTGTTTTTTTGGTGAGGCAAGATTATTTTTTAAGACTAACACATTCAAAATATTAGAAATTTTCTACGCCTGTTTTTTTACTACAACGATAGTGTTTAATAGCCTGCAGAGACAAAGATATTTACTGTCTGGTCTTTTACAGAAAAGTTGGCAAACCCCTGGTCTCTATGAACCAATCAGAGTAGAGCTCTTTTAATTTTTTTTCCTAAAAACAACTTTATTGAAATATAATTCACGTACCATACAGTTCACCCATTTAAAGTGTACAATTCACTGATTTTTAGTATATTCATAGTTGTACAGCCATCACTGTACTCAGTTTTAGAACATTTTCATCACCTCAAAAAAAGCCCTGTACCCTTTAGCTATCACCTCCAGCCACCACTCCCCTACCCCTCTCCTGCCCTAGGCAACCACTAATCTACTTTCTGTGTCTCTACGGATTTGCCCCTTGTAGACATTTCATATGAATGGGATTATACAATATGTGGTCTTTTGTGACAGCCCTCATTCACTTAGCAAAATGTGAAAACCTTGGAAAAAGTTCATCCATGTTGTAGTCTGTATCAGTATTTCATTCCTTTTTATTGGCAAATAATATTGCATTAAATGGATTTGCCACATGTTATTTATCCATTCATCTGTTGATGGACATTTGGGTTCCCACTTTTTGACTATTATAAATAATGCGGCTGTGAACATTTGTGTGTAAGTTTTTGTGTGGACCTATTTTTCCGTTCTCTCAGATTTATACCTAGGAATGGAATTGCCAGGTTATATGGTAACTCAGTTTAACTTTTTGAAGAACTGCCAAACTGTTTTCTAAGTAGCTGCACCATTTTACATACCATCATCAGTTTCTCCAGATCCTCACCAGTACTTGTTTAATGTCTTTATTATTATAGCCATCATAGTAGGTTTGAAGGATATCTCATTGTGGTTTTGCATTTCCCTAATGACTAATGATGCTGGCCGTCTTTTCATGTGCTTATTGGCCTTTTGCATATCTTCTTTGAAAAATATCTATTCAAGTTCTTCATCCACTTTTTAATTGGGTTTTTTCTCTTTTTATTGAGTTGTAAGAGTTATTTTTATATCCTAGATACAAGTCTCTTATCAGCTATATGATTTGCAAGTATTTTCTTCCATTTAGTGGGTTTTCACTTTCTTGATTGTAGCCTTTGAGGCACAAAAGTTTTTAATTTTCATGAAACCCAATTTATCTATTTTTCTTTGGTTGCTAGTGCTTTTGGTGTGAACTCCTTTAATTTAAGAGCCTTCACAATTAAGTTTATTAACACTCTGGGAATAGGGAGATGTTTTACATTCACCTATTGATAGGTGAAAATTTTCTCAGTTGTAGACAGAGAGCTCTCAACTTCAGTTCTACAATTGATGGTAAGACAGAATAAGCAGAGAACTAAAGAACGCCAGTGCAGATCTTTGACATCTTTTTTCCTTTCCAATAGACAAGATATTACAAACAAACAGATTCACAAGAAAGATAACAATCCAGATTCTCAGTTGT